ATGCTGAAGTATTGCAGGCATATGCTGTGACTCAAGGAATTAGCTGATGTTCAGATAAACCTAGAAATTAGTGAGCTTAATCTATAAACAATCTGGTAGCAAGTAGTGATGTGACGTTCCGTATCGAGGCTTCGAAGCGTGTGCCGAGTAGGGGAGGGGGAGTGTCCGCGATGCGCGTATCGAGGCTTGCGTCATTTAGGTGAGGAGCTGAAAATGATGACGTCCGAAACCTCGCTACCCGGCTGTACCACGTGACTGATTCAGGAAGTGGTTCGGATTTTGCCGCGAGTTTTGACAGCGATATAAACCCCTCAGGCTCAGTGGAGAAACTGTTGTTTTTAAATAAAAACCAATGATGTGTGGCCTGGTGAAATTAAACCAGCGCAGGACACAACAATGTCTTTTGGGTGTTTTATTCTGAATATAAATAATTGTGGTTTTCTCCAAACAAAATATAAAAGGAACAAAACCATGAATCAAACAACAGTCAACCCTGTCTCTCTCTCATTCGGTGCGGGACGTTTACAACTGCGCCCTTGCCTTGAAGTACAACAAAAAAAAAAATGCTCTTCCGTTGAAATAAGGAATACAGAAAATACAGAAATAACTGTGATGGCACACTGTACAAACAAACAAAGAGCATATACATTAGACATCAGAAATGTAACATTTCTCCTGCTAGCCTAAAACATAATAATGAATGCGGAGTTAAAATAAAACCTAACTGTACAGAAAGTCCGTCTGCAGTAATCGATGCACGACACACTCCGCAAATCCCACGGGTCACACGCTGGAACTAAAATCTGTAAACATCCAACATATGCATCGCTATAAACAAATGAAACTTACAGAATTACGTACACACAACACTCTTAGGCGACTGTCAACTTACATTCGGTTAGTACAAACTCGCGGTGTACAAGATTTACCTTCAACAACCAATTACAGAACTTCCGCTGAAATACCGCTTCAGTCAGGTAAACACACATGGCTTTTTATGTTTCCCAGAATCCAATGGATTGATACCCAGCATCCTCTACGTTCTTAGGGTTACTTCTCTAAAAGCGGTAGCACCCCTTTTTCCATATCTAACAGGTGCATTTCCACCTGGCTACAT